CGTTGAAACTGAGGAGCTAGAGATCAACGGAGGAAACTCATAAGTCGTGTGAAGCAGCATCAATGCAACCCTTTGCACTTAAGGTTCTACAATGATTGAAAAGAGGCCTAATTCGACTTACCAGCTCCACCGGTAAATATTTAGAGCTCCATAAGTGAATAAATTCTGAGACAGCTAAATGGCTGACAATTCTTCGTGAAATTTTGAATTTGGCTGTTTTCCTTGCTTCTAAGGGATTTAACTTTAGGGAATTTACTTTAGGTGTTTTCATTGACTTGATGACTTTAGATACTATTGATCTTATTGATTATTGATGACTTTAGATAATATTGATTTCATTGACTTTATGGCTTTAGATACTATTGATCACGTAATTCTTTTAATAAAAGTTGGAGTGGTACGGAATTACTGGAAATATATTAATTTGGCTAAAAAATTACTTAAATAATTGAAAACAATTTGTTTATGCAGATAATAACATATCATCTAGTTAGTTAAATATTTCATGTGGAGTTTGTCAAGGATTCATATTAGGACCTCTCCTATTTCTAATATATATTAATGATCTACGAAAAGCTTCTAACCTAATGACAGTTATGTTTGCTGATGATTTTAACTTATTTCTTTCTCATTATAACATTTTTACACTTTTTAGCAACATAAATATTGAACTAGTCAAAATTTGCAATTATTTGTTGGTTGTTGATAAAAAAATTATTTTATGTTTAAATTTAGTGAATTATTTAACATGTTTTACTTTTTAAGTTTAAGAACTCTTCTATTGTAATTTTGTATGTTTATTTTTATTTTAGTTTATAATATTATATTACGAACTTTATGTTGTCAGAAGGGGAAAACGGTAATTTATATACTTTTGAAAATTATGGACATTATTGTTTGCATGAGTCAGCTAATCGGAAGACACAGTAATTTGATTGATGCAAGCTGTAAACACCATAACAAAGGAAAAAATCATTAAAAAAAAATCTTCTAATTTCTTTAATTGAGATTTCTCTGTGACAAGAAGCTTTTTTAGGTATGTCAATATAAAGTTTTCTCAATATCAATTTTAATTTTTTTTATAATTATTACAATAATTTGTAACACCCACTTAGAAAATGTATACAATAATTATAATTAATTTATTGTAATAATTATATAAATAATTAAAATTGATATTGAGAAAACTTTATAATGACAACATCAACAAGAAATAATGGAAAGAAATAATGGGCTCTCATTATGGAGCCCATAATGAGAGCCCATTATTTCTTTCCGTCGTCTCAAAATAAGTTTACCAAAGAATATGGTGTTATCCAAAGTGCAGCTGCCGAAGAATTTCAGGATGGTATCTACTTCACAACCATAGTTGATGGTACGCCTAATATATCTTATACTAAGCGGATAACCTTTGTCACTTGTTTTCTCCTCTATGAAAGAGAAATTACTTGCTGGAAAATTAAAGAAGAAATAAAGAAAGAGTTTGATATAGCTAAGCTTATCACTAATGTGATTTTAAGGCTATGTATGGATATTCAAAAATGTCGTGGTCAGGGACATGATAAAGGATCCAGTAGGTCAAGTGCTTACAAGGAAGATCAGGGCTTGATAAGGCTAAATTATTTAGAAGCTCTGTACTTTCCCTGTAGCGCTCACAGTCTGATTTTGGTAGGTGTGCTCGCGGTTGAATCAGCCATTAAGATCAAAGTATTCTTCAAAAATGTTGAATATTTTTTAGTCCAAGTCTAACCCGATGGAAGATTCTCACTGAGGCAACTGGACTTTTACTGCATAGACTTCCTCTGACAAGATGGAGATTTCATACTAACTTGATCAAATCACTTGCCAAGAGGCCAAGAGAAATATTGGCAGCTTTTAAACGTATCATGAATAATCTGGATCTGACCAGTGAGCAGCTAAGCTAAAATAAGAGATTTAAAAAAATGACTTTCATCTTTTGAATTTGTATTGCTCGATACGAATCGGTACAAAACTCTAACTACTGTTAACGATGTTTGTCTTAAAAGGATTAGGACTCTTGGTTGCAAGTTTTCTAAGAGGCTGCAGTTGTAGTTGACCGCAAGGATTCGAAATTGAGCTTGAACCTAAAAGAAAGCGCGAGCTAAAGCGCTTTCATGATGAGGCATCAAACATAGTCCATTTCCATGAAAGCTAAACAAAAGAATTTAAAGTGAACATTTTCAACGTTGGTTTAGATGATCTTATCAAGCAGATTAATTCAAGATTTGAAACAAGCAGGGTGGTTGGCAATATTTTCATTCTTCAGGTTGAATAATAATAATCTTTCCGATTTAAATAAAGCATGAGAACTCGCACGGCTTCATCCAAGAGATGTAAGCAAAAAGAAGAAGTTCGCTGTTTTACCAATACCCGCAAAACACCTGACCCTAACCCTGACCCTAACCCTGACAGTTTTCAAGAAAGCAATCTAATGCAGTTTCTTGATCTAATCTTTTAGAAGAAGCTTGAACACCTTTTTCCATATATTTGCATCATGCCTCGAATTTTCAACACCATTTTAAAGTCAGTTGCTGAGAGTGAACGATTGTTTTGTAAACTGAAAGTTGTAAAAAAACTCTCTCCGATTGACCATGTGTCAGGATTACGTTACTGGTATTTGATTATTTTGATTAAACAAGATTCGAGTAAAAAGGTGAGTTACAAGAACGTAATTAAAATTTGGGCGGCCATAAAAGCTCAAAAAAGCATTTTAAAGCAATTTTTTACCTTTCTTAAAAGTTTTATTGATTGATTTTTTAATAGTTTTGAAACTAATATTTTGATTCATATATCAGTTTTGATTAGCGAATCGTTTCTCAATCCAGAGAATTAATAGTAACGCAAAAATACAATGTGCTGTATCAGAAATAAATAAATTGCTGCGTTCACAAAATTTTTAAAATTTTAGAATTTTAATTTCTTGTTTTGAATTAAGGGCGCCGCTCTTCATTTTTGACCCGGGCGCCATTGACTCTCTCAAAGGCATTATAAAAGCATCCATCCTGAAATCAACTCCAATTTCAAAGTACTATTTATTAGCTCATTGGGTTCTGGATTCTTTTAAACTAAAAATCTTTGATATTTTTTTAAGATATTTGAGCTCAATTTTGGTGCTTATAAAATTTATTTAAAAACTTTTAGCTGAAATACATGCTTATAAAATTTATTTAAAAACTTTGGCATATAAAACTCGCCGAATGATCCCACACAAGCAGTGAACGCCTGAGGGAAGAAATGAAGTACATTAGTATAAAGAAGAATTATTTTTTGAACAAAGCATATTCAAAGCTTTCTATTTTTAAAACTGTGTTTTGATCTGAAATTTGTTTTACATAGTTTTTTTGTTGATTTCATAGACGTTATGTATATCACAAACAGCCGTGGCGCAATAGTAGCGCACTTGCCTCAGATACAGAGGATCTGTGGTTCAAACCCCACCACTCGGCAATTTTTGCGACATCGGTTAGGAAGGAGGCGTGAACTTCCTATTAAATGGTCATCCGCGGTGCTCTGTGATAAGACCGTAAGGACTTCTTTAGGGCACCTAAATAAAATTTTAAAAAATGATAAAAGTTGATAAGGCGCTTAATTAATTAGCTTAGGTATATCAATCTAATATTTCCCCGGGTTTCAAATAAGATTGGCAACTACAAATAACTAGTTATTTCATCCATCGGTGCTATTGTTCAAATTTTGGAATATTTTTTAAAAGTTATGTAAATTTTGATCAAAATACTTTTGTGAAATCTTTAAAAGCAACTTGTGGTTACGTTGAATTAAAATAAAATAACAATTTAAAAAAAAACTTTTATAAACATCCTATTTATTCATGATTATAAAAAGTCTTAATTTACAAAACTTTTGACCATTTTTATGTACCGAAGACGCAAGTAAGTTATTTTCTAGAAGGAAACGCTACATTAAACGCTTTGAGTTACTTTGCGACTCAGCCATAATTACAGACGATGAACTTAAACTTTTGTTACTTCTAACTTTAATTGGGGATAACACTTACGAAATTTATGAAAACATTATACCTCGAGATACATCAACCACATACCAGCAAGCTGTAGAAACTTTTAATAAACATTTCAAATCCCAAGTAAATCCAAGCTATGAAACTTTTATTTTTCACAAAATGGATCAACATATAAATGAAACCACTAAGCAGTTTTTTGTTTGATTACACAAACAAGCTTTTAAATTGGTGAGGAAAATGCACCAGACAAACTATTATTCACACCATTACCAGGAGATGTTTAGAACACTGTTAATACAAGCAACACATATTGAACGAAGAGAGAGATTAATTATTAATTTCTATTTATACTAAAAAAAAATTTGTGATAATGAAAATTATTAGTGTTTCAGTGCAATTAAACTAACATTTCTTCTGAATGTAAACAATTTCACCCCCTTACTCTGAGATATTTTCTACACACCTTCGGAGTGTCTTCTGAAATTTTGAAATAAATATAAATAAAAAATGAAAAGATAAAAAAATAAAGAGGTTTATGTTTTTGTTTGACTCGCCTAAAGGTGTCGCAGAAATGTATATCTCCTAAACTTAAGTCTATTTATGTTGAGTACTTGACAAAGTCTAAAACAAGGTTGTTTTCAAAAAACAACCCTTTACTAAGGTAACAGATTTTAAAGGGTTACTATCATTAAGGTACCGTAAAATATTTTAACAGATGTAAAAATGAAATTTTGATTACTATTGGCTGTCATTACAAAATATTTTCAGAGTAAACCTTGAAGTTTTTACGATTTTAGTAACTACGACAGCGGGTTAGTATTTCTATAATTTTATTGGTATTTATTTGTTTTTATGATTTATTTATTATATCGTGACTGTAAGTTTAATTTCTCGTTTTTCAAAACTTTCGGGGTTTCCCCTAAGCACTAAATTTCCTCTTACTTATTTTAATAGTTATCCAATCCAAAATCAATAAAAATCGACTTTAAAATATTAATTTGCATTCTTTTAACAATTTTAACTCGAATATGTAAATATAAAGTTATGTGTTGCGTTCAATTATTACCACCAATTTTTCTATACTGAGAGCAATAAATTATGTTAGGTTCTGTTCAAATTTTAGGAGAAGATGTTGGAGATATTGATGTTCGTGATATGTGTGACTCTCTTCGAGCCAATTCCATTCGCTTGTTATCCTTACGAGGTTGTAGAATGAAAGATTATAATTTTAAAAAATTAATGGAATCACTGAAAGTAAATTCATCTCTTGCACATTTAAATTTGAACCTTGGGCTAATAAGTACAAAAGAAAGAGCTTTATGCCTCGCTGATGGTTTAAAAGGAAATACAAGTATCAATACTCTTACGTATGTAGAGATTTTATGTTTGCTTTGTTGAAAGTTGTTTTGTTTTAAGTTAAAACACTTAAAATGTTTATTAATGTATTTAATTCAAACATCATGTACATATAAATAAGCACAAGATCCGTAGATAAAATTAAATAAAGATTAAATAAAAAAGTACATATACAGCCATCTACAACAACCCATCATTCGGACAGTCTTAATATTCTGTTAACCTAACCAACAGTGAATTTTCTCCTGGCACACTCAATAAGCTGTTTCTTTAAATTGATCCAAGAGTTAGATAAAATCGTATTAAAAAATAGGAGCCTTAACTCTAAAAACATCAGAATCAGGCTGCAATATTTTTCATATTCATAAAACATTTTTGTATATTTACTATGGGAATATCGTAGGTGTGTTAATGTTCTTGTGCTAAAACTTCTATACAGAGAAGCATTATATCAGCATAATGTGATTGTAATAGTTTTATTTTAACTAGGCTTAAACATCTGTAAAAACACCTTATTATCATATTTGTTCAAGTATATAGATCTCTTTTTTTTATATCCATATCATCTGATAGATCATTTTTTACATTATGACCATAGTATGTCCGTAAATTTCAGTTTGTAACCTGCAACACTCAATTTTGGAAATGACAGTGACACAATTTTTGATTTTTACTTCGGGTTAAAAACTATACAAGCTGTTTTCTTTGTGTTAAAAGACATTAATTAATAAGGCCTTGTAACTACATTCAATAATTTCTACAGAGAGAACCGAGATGGAGCTATAAGTATTATGTCATCAGCTTAAGCAAGAATATTCAGAAAAATCTTTCCTATTTGCACTCAATATGCATATTTGAAATATTAAATACTAAATTACTAATGTAAAACCTAAATAGTAATGGTGATAAAATACCACCTTGTTGTATTTTATATACTAAAAGCAGGAGATTTAGCTTTCTGCCAACTAATACACATTTCCTGGTTACTGCACCAGAATGGAAGCAGACTCAGTATTTTTTGATATTCTTTAATCTAATAGGTTACAGAATAGAAGCCAGTAATCAATGTTACTAAATGCTTTATTAAAATTTATAAATGATGTAAACTTCCTCTAGATGTAGTAGTTAATAGCTTTCTTTAAATAACTTGTGTTTAAATAACAGAAATAAAGTTATGTTTAACATTAAACTGGTAATCATCTAAATTGTCTGGTATATTTATTTTTTGTAACAAAATATTTTCAAATATTTTCGATATAACTGGAAATAGTGCAACCACCCTGTAATTGTTCACATCAGTTAGGTTGGCCAATTTGCACTTCACCAAAGGAATAATTGAGGATTCACAAAACTTGGATGGCTCACAGCTTTTTGTTACTGATGCAATTTGTACTGCTCCAAAACTTTTTTAAATCCATGTTATAAAAATTTACTGCACATTTATCAGCTTTTATTTGCTCGTCATTCCACTTACAGTTTATTGCAGCTAGTTTAAAGGTGGCATGAGTACTCATTTTTTTCAAAAAGATCACCTTGTTTTAGCTTCCCTCGCAAATCCGTAGTTTAAATGCATCTCTAGCAAAATCATGCTTGTTTTTAACAAAATTATTCCAACTAGGAGTATTAAATTCAGAATTCATTTTGTTACCTCTACTCTGTGGTATAGTGTCAGCCACATTAGATTGAATACAATTTATGAGGTCACTATAAAATAATGTCTATATAAACATCTGTCTTATAGGTTTCCCCTATGTCATCTGTAAACAAATTAAATGGTACATGTATATCCTATAATAAGATGTCTAACCTTTTTTCATAAAGGGCTAATAACTTACCATTACTAGTCTGTCATTTAGTAGCAATGCTAGACAGTTTTAGAATAGGATTGTTATTTTTTATTTCAATTTTATTTTCTAATGAGCAAGAAAGAAAGAACGTTGTTAGTTTATGATACGTTGTTAGTTTATGATGCTATAGATGCTGTCAGATCTGAAATATTTATTATCAGTTGTTGGGCTGCACAGAATATTATCCAACCAAGAGGCATAATTTCCATTATCACTAATTTATTTAAAAGCATTATTTATACAATTTAAGTCAGACTTAATCAGATTATTTTCTTTTTTTAAAATTTGAAAACTCGTCAAAAAATCTAGACCCTTCCTCACAATAGAAGTCGCCAACAATAATAATATGGATAACATCTGCCTCATCTGTAATAGACTTTTTTTTTGAACATAAATCAATGTAGTTATGGAGACTGTGCTCACCATTATAATTTGTTGGCATATATTCATTTATCAACAGTTTAGGACCAATATTTAAGACAATTTTTAACACAATATTCCAGATTCATGAGATTCAATAATTTGAACGCTTTTAGTGAAATTTTACAATATAATAAGGCTGTACCATCATATGGTCTTTCAATCATTATATCAGATGAAATATTCACAGCAGGTAAACCAGTACAATAATAGATAAGCAGATAAACCAGTATCATATTCTTTTCTTGACCATTTGATAATTGTCAACAGATTCATCTATATAATACAAAGAGTATCCAGGTTATTTAGACTTTAACTTCTCACTTTTACAGAATAATTATTTTCAACTTGTATGATATCAGAGGTACAATCAGCAACATCTTTCTCTGTAGAGGATCTAGTTGTGAAACAAAATATCAACATTTCTTTTTATTGTAGGATTAAGTTTCTTATTGGAATCAAAAGATCCTAAAATAAGATTATTTGTTTTGAATACCTTTTTCTTTATTGGTTATTTTTGATTGCCATTTCTAACAATATCTGAGTTTAGTTTGACTTTGGCTTTCATTTAAAACATGGTGGTTTATTGTATTTATCATAATTTTCATTTCATTCTAAAAACTCAAAAATTGTTTTACTCCTGATCAAAGATAAGTAACCTCCGGGAACAAAGCACTTTTATCAATGTGTTATATTCCAATAGGGTGCAATCTAGATAAATTCACTGCATAAAAACTGGGCAACTTTTTATTAGGGTTTAGAAGCACCTTTAGCAAATCTTACGCAGTTTTCTTAAATTTATCACTTCCATGTTTTTTAACAAAACCTAGTATATATATATATATATATATATATATATATATATATATATATATATATATATATATATATATATATATATATATTAGTGTGTCCCAAAAAAGTTTCGACATCATCGAGTTTACAGAATACAGATCACATGCCTGTTCGATCATAAAAATATAGTAAAATTATTAGTTCCTGGTAGAGTTTAGAATAAAATTGGTTTATAGCACATCTTTATATGATTTCAAGCACAAGCAAAGCCAATTTTAACATTAAATATTTTAACACTTAGCAATAGAAAACGTAACTTTTTTATGCTCGTTTGAACACAATTAAAGACAATAATTTATAAACAAAATGGCAACAAGGTTTCAATTGTTCATTCTAATATGATAAATAACTTCTAAAATCTAAATGTCCACAAGATTGTCACGATTGCATTTGGAAAAGTCTTGTCTATGTTTTTCTGCTCTTCATTCTTTGTTATTGCTGCATTAAAATTTTGGATGAGAGCAACGCCCCGCTCAGCACAATCATTAACACATGGCAAGTTATTGACAAGTTGACGTGCCATCTGATAGGAATGGTTTTCGTGCCACTCTTCCACTGGAATATCGAGAAAGCTATCATCAATGGCAGTAACTAGGAAGAAACTTCAAAAAATGAGTAATTCCGCTGTTGTTTTTGGAAGAGACTTGAGCAAATGCGATCCTCGATCACTTTTTATTGTCGACACAAGCTGGGTTTTCCTTTAGAAGACATATGCTGAAAGAACAAGGAAACTGTTGCTAGCTCTTGGCTGAGGTACCAAGAGTGACGCTTCATCATCTTCAAACCTTTTGTCTGCAAAGCAGCATCTTCATACGTAAGCAGCCTTTGAATCAATAGAATGTCATTCAATGGTGCATCAGCAATGGCTCGACTTGAAAACAAAGATTGAATTTAGACATTGACAACAAATCTATTAAATCTCTGAATGCCCTGTAATTCACAAGCAGTCAACTGTATAACAGCTTCATTACCATCAAAAAGCAATTCTATCTTCATTGCATAAATCGCCTTGGCCATCCAACGTGCTCTGTGAACAGCACCAGGCTTGCAAACTGGTGCTGCCCCAGCGCATTTTAAACCAATCATATAAGTCGCGAGTTGGAGAAATTCTTGATAGTCATCTCGTGGATGGCTGAGTTGAAGCTGCTCAGCAATTAACTCCTTCAGATTGTCACTTGCACTCACCGATGGCACTGATTATGGTATAGGCTGACGGTGGACCAACTCTGACCATTTTTCTCAGAATTTTTTAAAAATCAAAATATCCGGTCCAGTTGACAGACCTAGAAACACTCCATATGCATCAGACAACAATACCTCAAACATGTGGTGGCGACATGGCATCCATAGCAGATTGGGACCGAGAGCCTTCTCCAGAAGAGTGCAAACTCCACTCAGTCTGCCGGTATTTGAGGCTGATGTATCAAAGCACATTTCAATACTTGTTGGTCGCACTGCCATGATTTGAGTTGGTCAAGAACTGCCTCCGATCCTACTTGTCCTGTTCCAGAAATCAACTTTGGTACTCCCAACAGTTTAATATTTCCATCAACAAGTGAAGAAACAAGAACTGCCAATCTATCAACTTGGTTGGTGTCTACTCCAGTGATGTCAGGTAGTAGTTTGCCATCCCAAATGAACGGCGGACTTACTAGGTAGAAAGTCATCCTTGATCTTCTGTGCAGCTTCACAACGAAAAAGCTGTCATTGACGATAGACTATACTTTTTGAAAGAACAACAGATGTCGTGGAGCATCCAATTTCATTAACCATTGATGCAATTATCATTGTTGATTTACGAATGAAGTCATCACATCAGCACACTTGGGTTGCTTGGTCGGTATATTATTAATTGGAGACTTTACAACAAATTCATCCATAGATTCTTCATCATCTGAGGAGCACAACTTCGATGATTCTGCTGTTTACTCATCTTCATCTTCAGTTTCCACATCTGCCTGCATTAATTGCTGTCCTGCTGAAGCTGCTCTTTGCTGGAGTACTAATCGTTCTTTACGTTTTGCTGAACGCTTATTGCGGAAAAACATTTTATTGTCCACAAGTCCAATGGATCCGGTTTTAGATTCTTTCTGCAACTTTAGAAACTGTTGGTCTTCCTTATTCTTGATAAGATTGTCAAAATCAGCATGACTGATATCAAACAAAATATCCAGCTTTTCATTGTATTCTTTTTGGTTCTGTTGATCCTTAGCATTATTCCTTGAACGATGTTTCATTAGTTCAACATGCTGTGAGTAAAGATCTTTAATCTTTTGAACAATATCTGGTTTGTGTCGGACCGGTAATCACGATTTCATCCAGAAGGGCAGTAGTTGGTCGTGTACTTACTGTGCACTCTGAGCAACTGTCAGTTTCCTCTGGAAGTTAACAAAATTCTGCATAACATCACGACCTGAAGGAAGGCGAGCTCCAGTTATTATGTCACATGGATGGCCAATCAACCAGATCATGTCCGTACTTCGAGTTGTGTTAGGTTTACACTTTGCCATTGCTCCACAGTCTTTATTCTACAATAAAAGTAAAAAACTAGTAAAAAGTAAATATATAAGATATTTAAAAAATCTGTTTTTAATAATTTTTGTTAAATTTCTGCTTAATTTATATAATATATATATATATATATATATATATATATATATATATATATATATATATATATATATATATATATATATATATATATATATATATATATATATATATATATATATATATATATATATATATATATATATATATATATATTATATAAATATATATATATATATATATGTATATATGTGTATATACATATATATATATATATATATGTATATACACATATATACATATATACACTCTAATATATATATATATATATATATATATATATATATATATATATATATATATATATGTATATATATATATATATATATATATATATATATATATATATATATATATATATATATATATTATATATATAAATATACATATATATATATATGTATATATATATATATATGTATATATGTGTATATATATGTGTATATATATATATATATATGTATATATATATATATATATATATATATATATATATATATATATATATATATATATATATATATATATATATAGTATTATATAAAAATCCAAAAAAAAAACAAGTTTTTTTGTTTTTTTAAGAAACAAATTTATTTTAAATTGGTAAGTTTAGACATAATTGTATTAATTTAGTTTAGACATAATTAATACAATTATGTCTAAACTTACCAATTTGGCAATAAGCATATTTTATTCAACCCCGATTAATTCATAATTTTTTGCTGAAATAGCAAATTTAATTTAGAAAAAAGATCGGCATAAAAAGTTATACAAGAATACATTTCAAGTTCACTGATAAAAAATTTTGTTTTCTTTGTTTAAAAAAAGTGTTATTATGCGGCAGAAAGTTTAACAATTTATCCAATTTTCTAAAGTATTAATTTTTTTAAATTCAATTTATCAAAAGTATTTTTTATTAAAATTTTTTATAATCTTAATCAAAAAAAGGTTCTCGACAAGATGATCAAAAAATGTTTTCAAAAGTTCTATTCAATAATTAAAGGCAAAAGAATAAACATATAACTATTTCATTATATCCTCTATTTCATTCTATCCTGTTTTACTTTATACCCTGTCAAAATGTATTCATTTAACGAAATAAATTGTATTGATAATTTTTACTTTGTTTAGATTACATGGAAATCCACTAGGTGATGAAGGGTTAACTATACTAGTAAATGCAATTGAAAACCATCATCAACTACAAACTTTAGATGTAGGTGACTGTCAGTTAGGAGATCAAGCAGTATCAAGCTTGTGCTCGTTACTGAAATACAAATCAAATGAAATTAATTTACTTGAATTAACATTAACTGGAAATAGAAGGGTTACACAAATAGGTTGGGCATCACTTGCAATGGCAATTGCTCACGGCTCACGTTTACAGAAACTTTATCTTGACTATAATGATATCGGAGATTTTGGTGCTGGGCTTTTTGCAGTAGCATTATCTTCATCACCATACTTAAAGTATATAGATTTTGAGGGTTGTGAAATTTCTGATGCTGGAGCAGAGATGCTTTGCGACTCCTTGGAATGTCACAATAACACTTTATTAGAACTAAACTTACAAGGAAATAAAATAAAAGAAGAAATACTAAATGAGATTAAGGAATGTTTGTTAGAAAACAACAATGCAAAAAAATTTAAATGATTTTTTTAATAAATTTTCGATTTAAAGCTGTATTTTACACAGAAAAAAATTTTTAATTTGCAGTTTATTTTTGCTTTGTAAATAATTGTTATATTAATAACTTATTGTATAATATTATAAATGAATATATAAATAATATATTGCTATGGCGTATTTACAAATGAGTTTTCCTGGAAAAGTGGCGCAAATGATAAAAAAACTTGTTCTGAAATAGTTATGTAAAGGATAAAAATTTTTGTCCTATCATTTAAACAGTTATGAAGCATTTAGTTCAATTTTCGTCAATTGTCAATTGTCAATTGTCGTCGTATAAAAATTATATCTTGTCTAATTTTAGTGTTATATAATATATTGATATATAGGTATATATGATAATATAGGTATATATAATAGGGTGTAGTAAAAACGCTTTTGTCGAAATTGAAAATTTAAATTTTTCTTTCAGATATTTTAAGATATACTGTTAAAATACTTTTTTCACAACTTCAAAATAAATGACTAAAATGGGGAGTTAATAAATAGTTTATTTAATATTTTAAGCGCAATGTAAATTTTTTTCAGATTCAGCAATACTGCAAGTAATTTGTAGAAATGCGTCTTCTGTTAGGGTTTTTTTTTGTTTGTTTATTTTGAATCCGTATTGATATATTAAATTATTTAAAGAAAGGTGATAAATTACCTTATACAAAGTTCTCTCATAAACTTAAAAAAAAAAAGAGAAAAATTGAGTGATAGTTTGTAAAACTGTTTATCGCCTACTTTGGAGATTTGTGTGACGGTGACTATTTTTAAATGGTCTGTAAAAATTTCGTATTTTATTGAACGATGTAAAACTTTGAGTTGTACGTTTTTTATGTGACCGACTGATTTATATAGGTAAATTATATAAAGGGTTTTAATTCGATAGAAATTGATGGTGAAATTATCGGAAAATCAAAATCTTATTATTACAATTACATAATTTTATTATTCACAAAAGAAATTTTTTTATCAAGATTTGGACTAAATGATGCAAAAATTTATTTAATTCACATATGAACGGGAGACCGAGGCTAGTTGGCAGCAGGGGTAAGTTGCGAACTGCGTTTATCTTAAGAACCTTTTATCAGAAAGTGATAAAAATTACATAGAACCTTCCTATTTTACCGTTTCATTATTAACTAGAGCATAATTAGAATTCGCATATGCGCATTGGAGATATAGGGAATTAGGTGTTTTTTGGACAAACACGTAACTTTTGGAGCATCGCTTCTTTTTACTTTACAAAGAAAATAGTGAAACAAAAAATAAAAATTCCAATCACAATTGGTTTACTATTTCCAGTTAGACTTTTTTTTAATAGTTGCCGTTTTTCATGATCTATACACTGTTTATTGAAATAAAGGCTTTTGAATAAGTGGGCAAAAATTTCGCGGGGTGATTTGGCTCACAGCATTTACTACGGGAAAAATATATATTTTTGTTAAATTAATTTTTTTTTTTTTAATTTTTAACAATATTAAAAAAATTTATTTTTTACAAAAAAATAAAATGCTCATGTCTTTGTTTTCTACATTCCAGTTAATTTTTTAAGAATTTCCATACCGTTTTGTTTATTTTAATTAAATTGGAGTAGTGCAACTTTTTTTATTATTCCTTCGGAATTAACAACTATCCTTCTGCAGACGCTAATCTAGCTTACAACAAATTCTTTAAAACTATTTATGAAAATGCGGCGTTAATTTTCCAAAATGTACTTTAAATAAAAAAAACTAAGGGTTTAATTAAGAACAAATAATTGTTAAATGAAGCAGAGATAATTGTTCAGAAAATGATTTTAAATTTGCTGAAGTAAAAAAAGTATTTTGTGAGCGGTACCTCTTGTTGGTATATTTTTAATAGGGGTGCACCGATGCATCGGCATCGGCCTGCTGATGTATCGGCCATTTACCCGATGTATCCGCCTTGATAACCATCGGCCGATGCCGATTGTTTTGAAAACTTTTAAAATTTATTAAATTCTTATCAAATAAAACTTATTAAACTCAAAACTTTTTTACATACAAAACATTTTACACAGTAAAAGATCTTTACAAAAATCTTTCAAAATGTACTGTAAATTAATATAGTATTTGTAAAATCAAGATATAGGTAAAATATTGGATTATAATAGTACGATTTAGGATTTGGCTTCCTTAACTGTACCGATAGCATATTTTTTTTTAAATTTAGTTCCTTATCAAATACCAACGTTTAAATTTTGATATATTTCAACTTTTTTAGAACAATTTTAGTCCCCATATTATAAAATACAAAAGTCTCATTGTTTCTATTTTGTATTTTTTCTCCATTTTTGATTTTATTCTTAGAGGGTACAATATCGGCAACCTTACCCTAAATGCAATATATAAGCCTAACTTATTAATAATGAGTTTTATATAAGCCTATATGCAACCATTAAACTAAAAATTTTAGAACTGCTTTTAACAGGGTTCCCTACTTTTTAAGTGTTTTCTTATAATTTATAAGAAATTTTTTATTAAATAATAATAAATTATAAAGAGAAAATTGCTTTAAACAAAGATTTTTTTGAGACTCTTTCTGTTATTCTTTACAATCAAAATGTTTCATTACATTTATATTAAAATTAAATAATAAAAAAGTTTATTATTAAATTGAAAGCGTTTAAAAAATAAACATTTAATATAAGTATTGTTTTATGTTTTTAAAAAACATTTAAAAAAACATTTGCTAAAAACTTGCCAATTATTAGAAGTAACGGCATCAAAATCATCCATTCATTCTTTATAAAAAACGAAATCATTTTAATTTAACAGAATGACGAAAATAAATATTTATAAAACTTTTCAATTGAAGTAATTGCTCTAATTATCTAGAAAACAATAAAAAAAATAAATGGAAAATAAATTTTAACAGTAACAATTTTAAAATATTGCTTTCTTTGTCACATGAATGGAAGGTGGCATTTTCATTCAAGTATATATTTCCATCATATATTCAATATCAGGGCCGATGCCGATGCATCGGACGTGATACTGGTTTGTACCGATCGGCATCGGCATCGGCCAAAAAAAGGCATCGGTGCACCCCTATTTTTATTACGTTGATGTTAATTTAGGAATGTGATTATAGATTTCAAATTTTACCCAGATGAAAGGCAATACATTAATAAAATTTAATTCTTTAGATGATGAAAAACAATTTCAAATACTTAAATTCTAGATTTCTATTTAAAATACAAATATTTGTAATAAATTTTCTTCGAAAGCGAATATTTTTACCTAATTGTTTTTTTTTAATATTCTACAAAGTCGTATTTCTAATCCAACGCAAGGCCTCTCAAAAATCGAACAACTTTCTGTAATTTTTTGACACATCTAGATAACAGAAAATGATGATCGTGTAACTAAAGCAATGAAAGTCTGCGAGTCTTTTTTGGGGTTTATATCAGTATCCAGTTGAAGTGCAAACACTGTAAAAGAATTCGAATTAATTTGAATAAGTGTTGAGCAGCAAGCAAATGCTATGTCGTTTGTTGAGTGTTTATATTGGGTGAACACATTCAGGATTACAAGCTATTATAAATAAGCCCAAAAAGACAGTTTTGCCTAATTTTTGGCACACTCACTAAACTTAATTTTAAATGATGTTGCGAAAAAATTTTCAGTCAACTTCTTTCGCTAATTTTGAAAAAATATATTACTTTTTTTAACAATAGTAATGCTGATCAATTTTTTGTAAAATATATAACTAAAAAATATATATAACCTTAAAAACGCGTGTTCTACTTGATGGTCTTAAAGAAACGACGCTTTATCAGCTGTAAGGAAAAGTTTTGATTAGGTGGATACGATACGCACACAGTGCGGAATACTTTTGCTCTTCCTTGTTTTGTATTTAGCGTTTTGAAATTTAGCGTTTCGTAATTTGTGGACAATCTCTTATGGAAGACCCTTTACTAATAAAACTTTTATACCAACTAAGCTTGCTAATCTACTAAAAAAGAAGAACCTGCCGAATCCAAAAAACATTATTGACATCTAAGATGGTTACAGTTTTATAGTCATCTTTTTATTCTTCACTCGTTAAAACCATCAACATTATTTCTAAAGCTTTAAATCATTAAAATTGTGTCAGGTGTGACACAATTGACACAATTGACACAGGTGTATTTTACCAAGTCATCTTTTTAATAGCCTAAAAGAGCAAGTGTTTTCCAAAATAAAAAACGAAAGATGACGAAACGTTTTTTTATTAGAAGATAAGTTTCAGATCCAGAGACAGAGAGTTTCAGACCCAGAGAGTTTCAGACAGAGAGTTTCAGACCCAGAGTTTACTTGGAACATTTGCATTTAATTTTGAAAAAAAAAGAATTATGGCTATATTTTGCATTTTTTTAGTAAAACACATTATTTTCTACGTTTTGACACATTTTGAAAGTTATTTCTCAAAAAATGCGTTTGCACCATTGATTTAAAGTTTTTTTCAGCAATCTAATTTTGTGTTCACACTGTATTGATTGCACTGGGTAAACTATGGTGCTACAGATTATACCGTTTTTTGTGTTTAATTCGATGGGATTTAAAATGCAAAATAACAATATAAACTTATCTTATAAGTTGCTGCAAGCATGTTATTGTAGTGATATAACTAAATAGTCGAAAGTTTCGTTGATTGGAACATTGAAGTTTTCCTTGTCTACTCAGTAATAAAATCAAAGGGTTGTAAAAATAGCTCGAGTGCAATTAAAAAAATACTTAGTTACAATCATAAACTTTAAAAATGATACATTATTGAGTGATTTTTAATCAATAAATTTAGAGAACGTCATAACAGTTGAAGATTTATATAATTTTTTGTTTGCAGACTTTAAATTTACCAGGGTAATACTAATCCTGTAATAAGTTTTGAATTAACTGTTTAAATTTTCACTGTAAAGATGAAAATCATTTTTTACAATAATTTGTTGATTTTACTGTTGTTGTTTTTTTTTTCAAATAACCTGTTCTGATGAAGGAATCAAAGTGTTCCAATTTAGGGAACCAGTTGCCTTGATTGGAACAAAATGATAACTTTGCAAAAACAAATTTATTTCCAATAACAGTGCAATCAATTAAGTCAAATTGTGGTTAAAAGTATAGTAGAGA